CGTGCTGGAGGGCGTGGTGGCCACTAAGAGCACCCCGGACGGCGTGGACCTGAAGCTGTCTAACTACAGCACCACGGCGGCCATGAACGGCTCCATCGCCTCGGCCAACAACGCCACGCTGGCCACGGTGGCGGCCAACTACGGCCTCAAGACGGTGGTGGACCAGCACTCCCAAGACATAGCGGCGAGGATCACGCCGCTGGAGGTCGACACCAAGGTGGCCAACGCTCTCCTGGGGGCCGTCACCGCCGCGGTGCTGGCCTCCGAGCTCGCGAGCCGAGACGCCTCCATCTCGGGGCTGCAGGCCTCCAAGGCAGACGCCAGCGCCCTGCCTGCTTACGCCCTGCAGTCGGCCGTGGACACTTCCTCGGTGGTGGACTCTAAGCTAGCGGCAGCCCTCTTGGACGCTGTCACCACGGCAGCCCTGGACGCCGCCCTCCTCGGCAAGGCGGACGCAAGCGCGCTGGCCTCCCTGCTCTCCACGGTGGACGGGCTGGACACGCCACTGGAGGTAGACACCAAGATAGCAAATGCCCTGCTGGGTCTCGCCACCGAGGCCTTCGTCGCAGCGCAGCTTGCTAGCCGTGACGCCAGCATCACGGCGCTCCAGGGGGCCAAGGCCGACGCGACGCTGCTGGCCTCGTACGCCACGAACGCCGCGCTCTCAGCCAGCGTGACCACGCTCCAGAGCGCCCTCGACGCAATCCTCGCGGAGCTCGCCGCCCTGCAGCTTTCCGGCAGCGGAGTTGTTAACGCACCGGCCTGGGCGGGCTTCACAACTTGGGAGCTCCTTCGCGGAAGCAACGTCGTTCGCAACCTGCATTTCGTGGCTCCTCTCTCTGCTGCGCTGGCCAACGGCGACGACACGCTGAGCATCACGGCAGACTGCTACTCCACGGCGGGCACTGACGCTGCCATAACAGCAGCCTTGCTGGCCTACTACCCCTCCTTACAAGTGGACACTCTGTTGGGGGACTACCGCACAGGGGCAGCGCAGGACGCGGAGACGACCAGCGCCATCACAGCCGCGCTGCTGGCCTACTACACCGCAGCGCAAGTGGACGCGCTGTTGGGAGACTACCGCACGGCGAGCGCGCAGGACACGCAGACGCAGGCCGCCATCACGGGCGCGCTGCTGGCCTACCGGACGGGCCCGGACCAGGATGTTTTCACAACCAACCAAATCACCTCCGCGCTGGTGGCGTACCGCTCGGCCGCCGACCAGGACACGGCAACGGCCTCAAGCATCGCCGCCGCCCTGCTCAGCTACTACACCCTCGCACAAGTGGACGGTTTGTTGGCTGGCAAGCTCGGAGTCACGGAGGCAGCCTCGGCCCTGCAAATAGCAGTGCGCTTTCCGGACGACGGGGGGGCCGACGAGTGGTGGCCGCCATAGGAGAGCAGATCCTGGCCCCCACGGACGTCTCACTGTCAAACTGGACGGTTCGCCCCAGCAGCGGCTGCAGCGTGGTCCTGGCCACGCACACCGCGGGAGGGAGCGTGGACGGCTACACCCTGACCCTGGCAGCGAACCCGTGGAACATTGTGCGCACCTACAACTTGACGCCGGGCCGAGAGCTCCTGTTCGCCTGCCGCTACCGGCTCGGCACGGCCTCCAACTTCGTGGTGTACATGTCCGAGGCCGACAACGTCTACGACCCCTTGTACGGCAGCTTCGTGGGTGACCAGGGCGCCTGGAGCACGGCCAAGATGTACTTCACCGTGCCTCCGAACGGAGTTGCGAAGCTGCACTTTGGGGCGCACTTCCAGGCGCCGGGCCTGCCCAACCAGACGGCAGGAACGGTGGACGTCTACGGCCTCCAGATCCTGGACGCAACCCTGCAATTCGGCAACACGGAGGAGGAGGAGGACACGGCGGCCTCGGCCCTGCTGCTGAAGCACGAGTTCCTCGACGGAGGGGCCGACGACGTCACGCTGGCCACCCTGGGAGAGGTGCTGCTGGAGCCCACGCTCACCACGCTAGGCAATTTTCTGGTGTGCTCCAACAGCCAGAGCTCCGTGGCCTCGGCCAGCTTCACGGTGGGAGGCTTCCAGCTGGAGGGCTACGCCATGACCCTGAGCGCCTTCGCCTGGAACATAGTGCGCACCTACACGCTGACGCCGGGGAGACGCTACTCCTTCGGCTGCCGGTACAGGCTGGGCACGGCCTCCAACTTGGTGATGTACGTCAGCGCGGCCGACAACGACTACGTGGGCGTCACCGGCACCTTCCTCGGCACGCCCTCGCAGGGAGTCTGGAGCACGGCGCGCCAGGACTTCTCGGTGCCGCCGGGCGGAATCGCGAAGCTGCACTTCGGAGCCTTCGGCGGGTCTATCCCCGGCCTGGTGCAGCAGTCGGCGGGCACGCTGGACCTGTACAGCATGCAGATCAGGGCCAGCGCCTTTGAGGGAGACTCGGTCTCCGTGTCGGACCTGCTGGCCGACTCGCTGGCCCTCACGGGCTCGGCCACTCTGGACGGACTCACTGCGCAGGGCAACGTGGGCTGCGACCAGCTGCTGTGCAACGACGTGAACTGCACGGACGTGTTCACAACGGGCGTGGACGCCTCGGGCGCAGTCTCCTGCGCAGCGCTCACAGCCACCGGCACCGTCGCCGGAGCCCCGCTGACGTCCACCGGCGCCGTGTCGGGCAGCTCGCTGAGCATCAGCGGGGCGGCCAGCGTGGGCCTGCTGAGCTCGGCCACCGGAATCACCGGCAGCACTCTCACCATCAACAACACGGCCAACGCTGGGAACGTCACCACGGTAGGCGACGTGTCCACGGGCACGCTGACGGCCTCAGGCGCAGCAACCGCAGCGAGCTTCGCAGCCACCGGGGCGGTCACGGGCGCCACGCTGACCATCACCGGTGCGGCCTCCGCGGGGCCGCTGCGCTGCGAGAGCCAGGACTGCACCTTCACGGCCACGAGCGGCGGAGTGTCGACGGGCAGCGTGGTGTGCGGCGACGTGACGAGCTCGGGCACGGTCACCGCGCCGCAGCTCTTCGCCTCCAACACGCTCACCGTGACCAACACCTCCGACTTCTCGGACGATCTCTTCTTGACGAAGAACTGGGCGGGCTGGAGCAAGCTGCAGCTGGAGCAAGCTGCAAGTGTCCAACAACAGCGCGGCCTCCGACAGCGGTCCGGAGCTGCGGCTGCTGGGCAACCAGAGCGCGCGGGTCTTCCTGGTGCGAGACGGCGGGGCGCACCAGTGCGAGCTCATCATGATCAACGACGAGGCGCTGGTGCAGACGAAGAGCCTCTCGACGCAGCTGTCCCTGACCACGAACCGGAGGAACCCCGGCTGCCTCGTGATCGCGGGCAACACGGGCAACGTGGTCTGCAACACGAGCTTCACGGACTTGTCCGACAGCCGGGTGAAGACGGAGATTGCCGAGGCCGACGTGGCTGAGCTCTTGCAGCTGTTTGACTCCGTGGAGGCCAAGCAGTACAAGCGCCCGGACATGAACGGGGACCTGAGGCTGGGCTTCGCCTCGGACGACTTCGCAGGAACGAAGTGGAAGAATTTGACGGGGACCACGCGGTGGAGCGACGGCACGGAAATGGTCACCCTCGACTACTCTCACCTCACCAGCGTGCTCTGGGGGGTGTGCAAGGGCTTCCAGGCCCGGCTGGACGAGTTGGAAGCCTGGCAGGCCCAGCGGGGGCCGAAGAACAAGTAAACATGGAGGCGCTGAGGGACCTGGCCGACGACTTCAACGTGCGCGACCCGCGGAAGCTGTACCAACTTGCGAGGCAGCGCGACCTCGACGTGACGCAGGCCATGGCCTTCGAAGCGCTGAAGGCCGACGTGGGCCGGCAGGTGCAGGCGCCCCGGCCGCGTGCGCTGGGCAAGTCGGCCGCCGAGGGGCCGAACGACCGGCTGCAGGCCGACCTCATCGACTTTAGCCAGAACACGCGGGGGAAGACGAAGTATGGCCTGGTGGTGATGGACGTCTTCACCCGGGAGGCCGCCGTGGAACCTCTGCAGAACAAGAACGCCGAGACGGTGGGCCGCGCCACCAAGCGCGCCGCGCGGGAGCTGACGGGGGCCGACGGGAACTTCGTGGTCACGACGGACCTGGGCAACGAGTTCGCCACGCTGGACCGGGAGCTGCCCGCGGAAGCCGTGCACCGAACGAAGCGCCCGGAGGACCGCAACGCCACGGCCGTGGTGGACCGGGGAATTCAGACGCTGAAGAAGGACCTGGCCACGCGCGTGGCCCGCAAGGGCGGCCAGTGGAGCGACCACTTTGAGCAGACCGCTTCGGCCTACAACGCGCGGCCCCACGAGACGGTGCATGGCGCCCCGGAAGACGGGGAGAAGCAGCCGGCCACAGAGTTCAGGGTCCTCCAAGACAACGCCGACAGGTTCCAGCACAACAAGGACTTGACGAACCGCCGCATCAAGGCAGTGGAGGACGCGGGCGCTTTCCGAGCACCGACGAACGCGGCGAGGAGCTTCAACCCACAGTACGGCGACGTGCAGCAGCTGCGGGCCGTGGACTCCATGACCGTCCGGAGCACCGAGGGCCGGGAGACCCTGCTGAAGCTGGCGCTGCCGGCGCCCCAGGGCAGCGGCAACGCGGCGGGCCGACTGACGAGGCGGGGCAGGCCGGCAGCTGTCAGGCAGCTGGACGACTTCCTGGCGCCCCCAAGGCCCAGGACCCTCGACTGATTACGGCTACTTTGGACCAAACCGGACACTTTGCATAAAGCGCTGGAAACTTGTACTTTGAGTCTGTTTTTGGGGTAGCATGATTTTCCTGAGAGCACCCCTCTCGGACGACATCATTATAAAAATCTGAATCCCCATTTCCGTGTCCTCGACCTATCGACCTGCCCGAGCAAGACGGAGGCATCTAACAAGGGTTGGACATCTGAGGTGCGCTCAAGACAGCAAGGGTTGGACAGCGTTTTCCTTGCGCAAGCACGCCATCTGTTCACGTGACTTGCCGGGTCTCTGCAAATGGCTGACACTGTACGTCACCCAAAAGCCTAAGAGCTACTTGCCGATCGGAGCTTCACACCCACCATGCGCTCATTTTGCTTGAAGGTGGAGATGTACCGCGGGCCATAGGATTGTCCTTTGATCCCCAACTTCGAGATCACGCTCTTTGCCGCGCCCAAGGTGTCCAGGCTGAGGTAGGTCTTCAGCGCCATCGTCAGCTCCGTGTGGAGGCTTGCTTCCTTCAAGGGCACCAGCTCACACATCTCCGCCATGAAGGCCTCGGGGTTGGCCTCCTCGTCCTTGTCTGCACATGGGACCAGGTCCATGGCGCTCATCTTCATCTCCGGTGGCTGCGGCTTGATCTCGGTGCCTGGGTTGTACTCCATCTCCAACGAGTCCACGAGATTTGCCGCAAGGAAGAAGATGTACTTGTTGAACTCTCCTTGGTTTATCCGGGTCTTGAGGCCATCCACGGCTCGCTCCTCGGTGGCCATGGACGGCTTCAAGGTGAAGCTGACCGTTGTCTGGCAGACTCGAAGCCGCCGCAGCATCCCATCCGGTCGAGTCACACGGGGAGGGTGATTGCTTGTTGCCACCAGCAAAGCCGTAGGCATGAAGTCCCGAAAACCCTTGTTGAGCTTCCTGCTGCAGACTGGCCTTCCATGTCACAAAAGGGCTTGATGAAGTCATCCGCCAACGAGTAGTGCTCGGGGACTTCACTGGCCCAGGCCAGCCGCTTGCCTAGAGTCCTTGCATGGTAAGGCGCGGGTCCGTCCTTCGCGGTCAGGTAGCGAGTCTGTTGCACCACATAGTTTCCCGGACTGCACCCCGTAGTTGTCCTTGCCGTGACCGAGGAAGGCGTGCAACATCTTCACCTTGGTGTCCTTCCCGGAATCCTGGCTTCCCCAGATGTAGTACATCTCGCAGAACCGCGGCGTCGCGGAGATGGCCCTGGTCATGAGACGCAGCTCGTAAAGGACGGAGCCCCAGTCCCCGTACACCTTCATGTGGCGGAGGATCTCGCACCCGCCCTGCTCCAATTCCTCGAAGCACTCGATGACCTGTTTGCCATTCTCGCTGGCCTCGAGCAGACACACCCCCGTCTCCAGATGCTCCTTCAAGAAAGCCAGGATGTGCTCGAAGAGCTTGGTCGCCTTGCTCGGCTGCCACATCTCTGAGGTCGCCGCCGCGTGGAAGCCCATGCGGTCGGCGGGGATCGGTGATCGGAGGACACGCTCCTTGAAATCGTAGAGCATGCCGTCGCAAAAGAGGATTTTGTGCCGTGTCTCGTCGCCGTCGAGGTCCGCCATCTGCGTGCCTGCCAGACGCCCCAGAACGGACGAGGACAGACCGGTGAAGAAGGCATTATCGTTGAGGGGCGGCGGCGGCACGTAGTTCTCATCGACTGTCTCGAAGACCGGGCAACACATCTTGCACATCAGGTCTTCCACGGTCTGGCCCAAGTCGTCCCGGTGTCGCACCAGCCAGAAGCCTCCCTTCTCGAAGCTTTCGTAGGTGGTCCTCTTCTCACCCCCCTCCACCGGAACGTGTACGACCGGGACCAGCTGCGCCGCCGCCAGCTTCGCAAAGACCACGGTGTTTGCCCTCGCCCGTCCAAGTATGACGTGCTGCCTGCAGCGCTGGAGCAGTTGGTGGTACCCGGAGAACTCCATCTTCGACTTGAGTCTCCAATCCAAGATGGGGTACTTCGCCGCCGCGTATGCCCACGGGTCCTCCAGCTCGTGCACGACCACCTCGACATCCACGGCTCGCTTCACGGCCTCGCTCGCGGAGCGGAGGGCCCCGATGCCGTCGTGCTGGTGGTCGTTGAAGGCCCTGCCCGCTGCCGCCGCCATCTTCTCCATCTGCACCCTCTCGTGGTGGGCGTACAGGGCAAAGGCCCCCGAGGCAGTGGAGCGGCCCTGCTCCATGTGCCAGTCCTTGGCCTTCTGTGGCAGCAGCTCAAAAACGGCCACGTGGGAGAGGCGCGCCGCCGTCTCGAAGCCGTAGAGCCAAGCAGCCACCTCGCCGCGCTCCCCCTCATCCGAAGCCAAGGGTATGTCCTGCAGCACCTTGCTCGTCCAGTTTGCGAAACCACCCCCAAAGCCCAGGGCAATCATCAGCTCCTTCGCCACGCTGCGCCGGCGGGCCTCGGGCAGCTTGTGGAAGAGCACGCGGGCGATCTGCGCGAGCTTCTCCTCACGGTGGCCATGATGGGCGGCAGCGGCTTCTGTCGGTTCAAGAGCTGGAAGAACAAGTTCTTGATGTCCAGCTCAAGGCGATGCCGCGCAATGTAGCGGACCAACTTTTGAAGGCACGCAGAGCGCCCCACAAGCGTGTCTGGGACCCCCATCTCGATCTCCTTGCGAATCTCCGGCGGCAGCTGCTTCATGAACTCTGCCCGAGCGGAATCCACGGCGCCCTCATTGCCTTTGCGCTTTTTGGCAGAAGATCCGCCCCTTCAGCCCGGCGCGGTGCGGCCTGGGCGCAGGAGCACGGGAATCCACCCAATGCCGTCCTGGTCCATTCACAGAGCGCTTGAACAGGCTCATCAGCACATCAAAGAGACTGTGGTCGGGGCATCGCCGCACGGCGTCGAGCTGCAGAGCGTTGCTGATGGTGAACACGTCCGTCCGCTCCCAAACAAGGCGATGGTGTTTTAGGTTATCCTCGGGAGGCTCGGTAAACTCCTCCTTGAACTGCTGTAGTGCCCCAGTTGGGCGGGTGTCGGAAGCTCTACCTCCTCCTCTACCTCCTCCACCTCCTCCTCCTTGACCTCCGTCTCCATCTGCTCGGCTCCTCCGTCTCCGTCTCCATCTGCTCCGGCTCCTCGGCCGGCTCCTACCGGGCCATGGGCCTCCGTCTCCTCCTGGGCCTCAGCCGGCTCCTCGGCCGGCCCATGGGCCTCCGTCTCCGTCTGCTCCCCGTCTCCATCTGGGCCTGGCCGCCTCCTCAACCGGCTCCTCGGGGCTCAGGGCCTCCGTCTCCTCCTGGGCCTCCGTCTCCTCCTGGGCCTCAGCCGGCTTTTCGGCCGGCTCGTGGGCCTCGTCTCTGCGGCTCATGGGCCTCCGTCTGCTCCTGGGCCTCCGTCTCCTCCTGGGCCTCAGCCGGCTTTTCGGCCGGCTCCTCCGTCTGCTCCTGAACCTCCGCAAGAGCCTTTGAGAGCCTCCTTTCAAAGACGCGTTGGAGCTCCCGCACCGACTCAGCTTCCTCGAGGTTGGCATCATTGAGGTTGAGCCACTGGAGCCTCGCCAGGCTTCCTGGCACACAGATCTCTCAAGGCGCTTGCGCCGACAGAGAAGGCCGTCACGAAATTGATGACCTCTGCGGCGGTCTCCACCGATCTCGGATCTTGCACAGCGCGCAGTGCAGAAGCCCCTCCAGCTCAGTCATGGGCCGCTGGCGAGTAGCGTCTGGATCACTGCCGACCGCCAAGCTCTTCATGCTCTGCATCTCACCGAAGGCCTCTCCAGCGCGGGGGTCCGTGCACTTGTCCGGGTGCACCAAGTGCATCATCATCTTGAAGCAGGACGACGCAGAGCCGGGGAAGATCCTGAAGCCGCACTTCTCGCCAACTCGATGCGTTGGGCTCAGCACGAGCTGCACCGCCAGAGACCGCGCATCCATGGTCATGGTAGGTGTCGAAAGCTAAGTTCCTTCTGAGAAAATGCTTCAAAAGATAAAGATGGCACGTCCCAGCAAGTACCCGAATGCTTGGCAATGACTGGCAACCAGGCCCCGGACATTCGGAAACAGCAGCCGAAGTCGAAGGCGTCTGAGCGGCAACTCCACCCGGTCCTGGAGATGCTTGTCAAATGGCCTAGTTCTGTGCCCCCCTGAACCCGGTTTTTTATTTATATAAAAATCTAAATGCTTCGATCCCTCGTGCTTCGATCCCTGGCATCCCGTGCTTTCTGTGCCCCCCTGAGGCGGTTTTATTTATATAAAAATCTAAATGCTTCGATCCCTCGTGCTTCGATCCCTGGCATCCCGTGCTGTCTGTGCCCCCCTGAGGCGGTTTTATTTATATAAAAATCTAAATGCTTCCATCCCTGGCATCCCGTGCTTTCTGTGCCCCCCTGAGGCGGTTTTATTTATATAAAAATCTAAATGCTTCCATCCCTGGCATCCCGTGCTTTCTGTGCCTCCCTGAGGCGGTTTTTTATTTATATAAAAATCTAAATGCTTCCATCCCTGGCAGGTTGTCTCCCGTGCTTTCCGTGCCGCCCTGAGGCGGTTTTTTATTTATATAAAAATCTAAATGCTTCCATCCCTGGCAGGTTGTCTCCCGTGCTTTCCGTGCCGCCCTGAGGCGGTTTTGTATTTATATAAAAATCTAAATGCTTCGATCCCTGGCAGGCTGTCTCCCATGCTTTCCGTGCCCCCCTGAGGCGCTTTTTTATTTATATAAAAATCTAAATGCTTCGATCCTGGCATCCCGTGCTTTCTGTGCCCCTTGAGGCGGTTTTATTTTTCTAAAAAAACAAATGCTTCAATCCCTCTGCAGGCAGTCTGACAAGGAATGCGAGCGTGCAGGTTTTATATAAAATAAAAACTTTTTTTTTTAATCGAAACACTTCCTCGCGGCTTGTCAAATGGCCTAGCTCTGTGCCCCTTGAGGCGGTTTTATTTTTCTAAAAAGCTAAATGCTTCAATCCCTCTGCAGGCAGTCTGACAAGGAATGCATGCGTTTAGTTTTTATATAAAATGAAAACTTTATTTTTTTTTTAAAAAAAGAAAAGAATACTTCCTCGCGGCTTGTCAAATGGCCTAGCTCTGTGCCCCTTGAGGCGGTTTTGTTCATATAAAATCTTAATGCTTCAATCCCTCTGCAGGCAGTCTGACAAGGAATGCATGAGTTTAGTTAGTTTTATATAAAATATACAAATTTATTTTTTAAAAAAAGAAAAGAATACTTCCTCGCGGCTTGTCAAATGGCCTAGCTCTGTGCCCCTTGAGGCGGCTTTGTTCATATAAAATCTAAATGCTTCAATCCCTCTGCAGGCAGTCTGACAAGGAATGCATGCGTTTAGTTAGTTTTATATAAAATATAAAATTTTATTTAAAAAAAAAAAAAGAAAATAATACTTCCTCGCGGCTTGTCAAATGGCCTGGGTCTGGCGCTGGGGGGAGGTTTTTTGGGCAGTGCCGTGTGGGCACGTAGGATTAATACTGCTTCGCCCAACGACCTGGAACTCAGCTCCGTGCGCTTCGCATGTTGGCATCCCTATATCACACACCTCAAGGATGAGGATGGCTTTTTTTATTTATATAAAAATCTAAATGCTTCCATCCCTGGCAGGCTGTCTCCCATGCTTTCCGTGCCCCCCTGAGGTGCTTTTTTATTTATATAAAAATCTAAATGCCTGTGGAAAACCGCCTCAAGGGGGCACATAAAGCACGGGGACAACCTGCCAGGGATCGAAGCATTTAGATTTTTATATAAATAAAAAACCGCCTCAGGGGGCACAGAAAGCACGGGAGACAACCTGCCAGGGATGGAAGCATTTAGATTTTTATATAAATAAAAACCGCCTCAGGGGGCACAGAAAGCACGGGAGACAACCTGCCAGGGATGGAAGCATTTAGATTTTTATATAAATAAAAAACCGCCTCAGGGGGCACAGAAAGCACGGGAGACAACCTGCCAGGGATGGAAGCATTTAGATTTTTATCTAAATAAAAAACCGCCTCAGGGGGCACAGAAAGCACGGGAGACAACCTGCCAGGGATGGAAGCATTTAGATTTTTATATAAATAAAAAACCGCCTCAGAGGGGCACAGAAAGCACGGGAGACAACCTGCCAGGGATGGAAGCATTTAGATTTTTATATAAATAAAAAACCGCCTCAGCGGGGCACAGAAAGCACGGGAGACCACCTGCCAGGGATGGAAGCATTTAGATTTTTATATAAATAAAAAAGCGCCTCAGGGGGGGGCACAGAGCTAGGCCAGTTGGGCGAGCCAGTATCAAACGAGGTTGGGCGGACCAGTACTATGGGCCGTTGGGCGAACCCGTACTAAGGGGGCCGTTGGGCGACCCCGTACTATGGGCCGTTGGGCGGACCAGTACTATGGGCCGTTGGCCGAACCCGTACTAAGGGGGCCGTTGGGCGAACCAGTACTAAGGGGGCCGTTGGGCGAGCCAGTATCAAACGAGGTTGGGCGAACCCGTACTAAGGGGGCCGTTGGGCGAACCCGTACTATGGGGGCCGTTGGGCGAGCCAGTATCAAACGAGGTTGGGCGGACCAGTACTATGGGCCGTTGGCCGAACCCGTACTAAGGGGGCCGTTGGGCGAACCAGTACTAAGGGGGCCGTTGGGCGAGCCAAGTTACTATGGGCCGTTGGGGCGAACACCGTACATCCTACGTATTGCCAGGCTCGGCACCGTGCACGCTCGGCACCTCCTAAGTTGCCCGCTCGGCACGTTTACTAAGTGCCCGCTCGGCGGTGCCCGCTCCGGCACTCCTAAGTGCCCGCTGGCACTACTTACTTCCTTAATCTAGAGTGCACGTCGGCACGTTTACCTAAAGTGCTCGCTCGGCACTCCTAAGTGCCCGCTCGGCACTCCTAAGTGCCCGCTCGGCACTAAAAAAAAAAAAAACCGCGGGCCCGAGCGCTTTTTCCTCCATCAGGATGAGCTCGAGTCGGCCACGCTCACTCCTGCAGGTTGAACAAACGCTTGAAAAAGCACGCGAAAAAACGCAAAAACACGGTCCTCCCGCCACGATGTCCAGCTCATGCCGCCTGACAAGAACGTTCAAACATGGCCCAAAGCGGAGAAAAAAAGGCGCCTTGCGTGGCTTTTTCGCCGGCGGAGCGGCGGCTGCGGCGGTGGCGGCCTCCCAAAAAGGGATTCAAGAGACAACGGATGAGCCGATTCCCACCTCCAGCCGCAGCCGTTGGTTCTCCTCGTAGAGGGCTTTGATGTCGACCTGACAGCTCACTGCTGAGGAAAAAAAAAAAAGGGGGGACGCCGCGCTCCTTGTAGCCCTCGATCCACTTCTGCTCCGCCTCGAGCTTCGTGAAGAGGCGGAGGCACTCCATCTCCTGTCAGCCACAACGGTCCGCCAGCCGGCGGAAAAAAATCGAGCCTTCTCCACGAGCTTCGCCGCCGTGTCCGCGTGCTCCGCGAGCTGGCCGCGGAGCTCGCGGATGGTCGCGTCCTGCAAATGTGATCTTCATCCGTTTACCGTTGAAATTGTACCCGCCTGGACCGCCAGCTCGCGGCGCATCGCGTCCTGGCGGAAAAAAAAAGGATAGCCCACAGCCCCCTCTCACGATACGACGAGCCTTCTCATCGTTGAACGCCTTCTCCCTCTTCACCTTCGACGGCGGCCTTCAAGTGGCGAGATGACGCACACGCGTGAAAAAAAAATCAGGCCTGCGAGGCACCTTCCACCCGGAGCTGCCGGCGCCATCCCACTCCACCTGACGTGGAAAAAAGGGGAAAAAACACGAAGGCGAGTCGGGCCTGGTGCGGCCCATGCGGATGCCACTCCTGCCGTGGAAAAAAGGGGGAACAAAAATCGAGGGCGAGTCGGGCCTGGTGCGCTCCATGCGGAAGCCACCCCTGCGGCGGATGCCACTCCTCCTGGCGTGGAAAAAAAAAACAAGGAAAAGACGCGGGCGAGTCGGGCCTGGTGCGCTCCATGCGGAAGCCACCCCTGCGGCGGATGCCACTCCTCCTGGCGTGGAAAAAAAAAACAAGGAAAAGACGAGGGCGAGTCGGGCCTGGTGCAGCTCATGCGGATGCCACCCCTCCTGCCGTGGAAAAAAAAAAGGGAAAAACTCGAGAGCGAGTCAGGCCTGGTGCGCTCCATGCGGCTGACGCCACTCCTCCTGGCGTGGAAAAAAAACAAGAAAAAAACGAGGGCGAGTCGGGCCTGGTGCGTCTGACCCCACTCCTCCTGACGTGAAAAAAAAGGGGGAAAAGGGAGAAAAAAAATGAGGGCAATTCGAGCCTGCGGCTCCCATTGGCCCCAGCATTCCTCCTGACACACCCAGAAAAAAAACCGGCACGAAAAACTTCGAATGTCCTCCGTGACTCCACTCATGGCCGGGGCGCTGATGTTGCTGGTGCTGCTGATGCTGTTGCTGTTCACTAGTGACCCCTACCCGAGCCTCACACCTAATGACCCCTACCCGAGCCTGCTCGCACCTAATGACCCCTACCCGAGCCTGCTCGCACCTACTGCCCGATCCGAGCCTGCTCGCACCTAATGACCCCTACCCGAGCCTGCTCGCACCTAATGCCCGATCCGAGCCTGCTCGCACCTAATGACCCCTACCCGAGCCAAACTGCTGTTGCTGTCCGAGCCAAGAGTGAATGCTGCTGTTGCTGATGCCGCTGTCCGATCCGCCGAGATCTTGCGAAGCACAATACAAGGCTCGTCTAACGTTTAAGAAACAAATCCCAGCACCCCCCAGCATCTCCAGCATGCTGAGCATCCCCAGAGGCGTCCCGAGCGGGACATGAAAAAGCGCACCAAAATCATGCAAAATCATGTCATGCCATGCAAAAATCATGCCATGCAAAAAACGTGCAAAAACGAGCTATTAGTCCCGTCCGTATATAGACATACGGACTAGACTAATAGCATTTTGTAGCGCAAAACCGCGTAAAAAAGC